GTGCAGCAAACCACCATGGCACATGTATACCTATGTAACAAACCTGCACGTTCTGCACCTGTATCCCAGAACTTAAAGTAAAAGGAAAAAAGAAAAAGAAAAAGAAAGTGACATAGAAACTCAAGATAATGTTCTGGGTAATGAATTCCAAAATATCTGTTTGCCAACACTATCCTGATGACAGAGGCAAAAACTTTTTACATGAAATTTCTGTTTATTTGCATTTTTTTCTCAATATGATGCTCTGGCCAAGATACTCTCTAAATTCTTGCTTTACTTGAGAGGAGTCTTTAGGGGCCTGTCATGCTTGCAGGTCTCTTCTTAGGGACATTGTCCCATCTTCCCCTATGGAAGCTATGCTAAGCCATTTCTTATACATGGACTGTCATCTTTTACACCAGTGACACCACCATTTTATAAAGAAGTCTGGCATAAAAGGTTTTCCCAGAAAGAGTAGGGAATTTGAATGCAAGAAATTCAGAGAGAAAGTAAGATATTTGTAGAGGAAACATAAGGCATAAGGAGAAGGCCAAGCAGAAGAATAGCTGAGTCAAATTAACAGCAGACACTTGAGACCATTAAGCTCTAGCTGCTGATGGCATGATAAAATAACTAAGTTGCTAGTTACGGTGAATTCTCAGTGGTGCTCCAGTTCCCAAAATATGTCTAAGTTTGCGCGGAAACTGTTGATGCTACAATTTCTGTTGTTTTTGTTTGTTTGTTTGTTTTTGTTTTGTTTTTTTAATTCAACTTTTATTTTAGATATGGGGAATCCATGTGTAGGTTTGTTATTTTTAAAGGTCTATGTAGCTGTCCTAAGATCTTATGAGGTCTGGTCATTCACGAAGTCACTCACTCAACAAATAATTATTGGGCATCTATTCCATCCCAGACACTTTGCTAGGAGATCATGGAACAACAAAGAAAAAAGCATACATTGCTCCTCCCTCATGGAGCTTATAGTCTAGCAAGTTTCAACAAGAACCATTACTAACTAATAGATTAGGATGGTGCTATGAAGAAAAACAACAGGGGTTATGAGGCTTTTTGGAAGGGCACTCTAGCGTAGTCATGGGTGAAAGAGCTTCCTGACATTGAATTCTTGCTTCTCTCATTTCCATGAGATCCTCAGAATAAGCCCTTGATTACCTGAGTGCTGATAAATAAAACAAACTCATTACCTCTCTGAATAAAATCATCAGTAAGTATAAAAAAGTACAAATTGACACTTGGTAGCCATCTCTCTATCTTCTGAGAATATCCAATCTGGAAACCTGTGAGAAATCTTTCTACCAGGTATCTGCTGACATGGCTCTTCAAAGTCAGTGTAGGCTTATCATAAATAAAATAATTATTTTGTCCTTAAAAAGTACTTCAACTCTTTTTTTTTTTTTTTTTTTGAGGTGGAGTCTCACTCTTACTCAGGCTGGAGTGTAATGAGGCGATCTCGGCTCACTGCAAGCTCCGTCTCCTGGGTTCAAACCATTCTTCTGCCTCAGCCTCCTGAGTAGCTGGGACTACAGGTGCCCACCACCACGCCCGATTACAGGTGCGAGCCATGTCGCCTGGCCTCACTCTATTTTCTTCAATGTATCACTAACATTACCAATCCATAGTAATTCCGTAGTTTACCATACTCATTCTAAAAACTGTTTTCTCACTCTTACTCACTAGGTGGATTCTGCCTCAAGAATGAACCAGTCTGGTTAATTGTGGTCCGTCCCCTCTTTTAAAAAAAAAAAGAAAGAAAGAAAGAAATAGGATTTTTCTCTGTTGCTTTGGCTGGCTGGCTGGAGAGCAGTTGGACAATCATGGCTCACTGCAGCCTTCACCTGCTGATCCTTCTGTTTCAGCCTCTGGAAAAGCTGAGGCTACAGGCATGCACTACCATGCCCAGGCTAATGCCCCTTTTTCCTTTTTATGAATAAAGTTTTATCCAAACACTGCCACATCCATTTGTTTATATATTTTCTACAGTTCCGTTCACACTCCACCAGCAGAGCTGAGTTGTTGAGACAGCAGCCATGTGGTCCACAAAAAATATTTACTATCTTGCTCTTTACAGAAAAGTTCCTGGACCTGCAGTCCAAACACTTCATCTTTTGCTCTAATTATTAAAATAGCTCCATACTTTTGTTCCTGCCAGCATCTTTCCTCACTACAGTCTGTTTCTTACACTAATGTTTCTGAAACACTAATATGATTGCCATTCACCTTCTTCCAGGTCAGCGTGAACATACTTTAAGACAGGAAAATCAACCAAATGAACATAAGGGCCTTCACAGTAAGCCTCAGAAAGTCTATCCAGTCTTATCCTCAACAGCTTCCCACCCACCATGCTCCAACCTCATTGGATGCTTGCTCCTCCTTTATGACCCTTTGCACACACTATTCATATTCCCCTAAATGACCTCCCCTATCTCCAGCTCCACCCAGCTCTTGAATTTTTACCAGCAAAATTTGTATTCTTTTTTAAACGTCAGCTCAGCTGGCATTTCTCATGAAACCTTTTGCATCTGTCCTCTAGGCTCCCTTCTTAGTATCCTCTTGTTTCTTGGCCTCCTATGAAGCTGAGTGCCCGTACCCACTATAGCACTTACCACATGCTCATGTTATTTATCTATTTATGTGCTGTCCGCCTGCATGGATTTTTGTCTCACTTAGTTTTAGATTGAGAGCATTTAGTGCAGTGCTTGGCACCTCTCAGGCATAAAGTAAACGTTAATTTTCACTCCAGCATGTTGCTGATTGTACATTTCTATAGTGTTAAGATTCACATTCTTCTTACAATTGTGATATGGAAGAGTCTATTTATCTTTTCCATTAGTCAGTTACTAATATATATCATACCTATCTTCAAGAAGTTATTGATCTATTTGAAAAAATGAAACAGATCTACATGGAAACAAAATAAGGTAAGAGAGAACTCCAATAAGAGAGAGAGGACATTTAGAGGTATGGAGACTTCATTGAGGACTGGGTCAGGACAAAATGGCAGAAGAGAGAAGACTGAATTTTAAACATCTTCAATGACAGATAGCACTGGACAAGTGATATGGTTTGGCTGTGTCCTCACCCAAATCTCACCAGGTGCAGATAATTGAATCATAGAGGTGGTTTCCCCCATACTATTTTTGTGATAGTGAATAAATCTCACAAGATCTGATGGTTTTATACATGGGAGTTCCCCTGCACAAGACCTCTTGTCTGCCACCATGTAAGACATGACTTTGCTCCTCATTCACCTTCTGCGATGATTATGAGGCCTCCCCAGCCATGTGGAACTGTGAGTCAATTAAACTTCTTTCCTTTATAAATGACCCAGTCTCACATATGTCTTTCTTAGCAGCATGAGAACAGACTAATACAGCAAGCATTCAGCTAAGAAAATGCTTCATCATTCATTCATTCATTTGTTCATGTATTCATTCATTTGTTTATTTGTTCATTTTCTTCTCTGTCTTCACTGTCCCCTCCTTGAGGATCCTCTTTCTTTCCATCCTGCAAAAGTATCTTATTCTTTCTTGCCCCTGGACCTTTGCACATGCTTTTACTTCAGCCTAAAATGCAATCTTAATTCTTTTGCTTTATCTGGCTTATGTTATGTCAAGACTTTCCACTTAGGGTCTCCTGACCCCGAGTTTTGGTTCAATGTACGTTGCCCTTTATATAGGGAGATACAGACAAGTAAGTACTTGTTTATTTCATTGTAATCTCTGCAAACTGTAAGATGTTTGCAGACATCTTTATATAGGGAGATACAGACATACAAATACTTGTTTATTCCATTGTAATCTCTGCAAACTGTAAGACGTGGTCAGGATCATGGCTTTCTTGTTCACCTATTAACTGGCACATAGTATGTTCATTTGGTCCTTTGCATTTTCATTCATTTGAAAGATGCTTCTTGGGTACCCTCTATAGACCAAGGTACTAGAGTTAATATAGGTAAAACTTTAGGCAGAAACTGAGAGGACCTGAAGATGAATAAAAGCAGATGGGAAAATTTTATTCACTAGATAAGCTGTATGCATGACAGCAATATGTCTCTTCAAACCAAGAAGAAATATATCTGGCAGGCACAAAACTTTATTTATCTTTATAGCCTCTATGGTGGAACGGAATAGTAAGAGCCAGTGCTGGTAAGAGGAGATTGAATGAACGAACTAATAAATGAGGCTAGGTTCTCAACCTTCAGAATTCCTGCCTCTAATGTGGTATTCAGAGCCCGGCCTTTTATAGTTACTCTGGAACAGCTGACACATAGTAGAATTCTATCTCTTTATTTGAGATTTTAACATTTATTTATGGTCTGAGATGTTTAGTCAAGGGGATGGGGAGAGGCTATTGCTACCCTGTTCTGTGCACCAAGTGGTCAAATGTTCTTAACTCTGTTTTCAAAAGTTTTGCTGTCTTGTTTTGAAACCGGAATTTAAAAGATGGCACACAAATGTCAGTGGGAAAATGAACAAGCTAAGAAAAATAGCAAAAGCCTACTGATACCAACAAAATTATTAAATTTCATGACTCTCCTGAAAATTTATGCTTATGGCCATACCACCTTGGGTTAAGGCTTGAGGGATTTCAGTATCTGAAAAGTAGCTGGCCTTATAAACAGTACTTGGTCTTATAAGTGTTTGAGACAATTTTCTAAGGAAAAGCATGAAGTGCTAGAGGAATGTCTTGCTCAAAGAATCTTTCCTTAGAAATTTGGACTTAAAGAGACTGTCTTTCAGATTAACACAGAATGGAGTATCAAGGAAGTGGCTATGGAGATAATTTCAGTCTTTCGTGTGTTTAGCAAACTCTCCAATCTTAACTTGCGAAGGAATTGTCACAGGCACTAACCTGAATTCCAAAAGCCAAGGGCTTTGCCAAAGTTTTTGTGATCTAATACATTTGGCTCTGGAAGCAGTATAAGACTTCTCCAGTTTGAGTACATAGGAAGTTAGCGTGATTCCTGAAATACATATACTTTAAAAAGTAGATTTAGTAGCAGAGACCATTCAAATTCTGATTTTAATTATTCATGTGAAGTCAAATGAATAGAAGATATAATTGGACACAAAACAGACAAGGATGTGAATCTCAAGGGTGGATGGCACCTTAGGACTCGAGGCTAGATTCCAACTAGGAGAAAGGCTTTGAGGTAGGAGTTGGGATGGTAAGATAAAAATTAAAACATTAACCCACAGTGCCGGTCAGAATGAGAGCTAACATAAAAACTAAAAATGGTGGTGGGGTGTGGGATGGTCACACAAATTGGAGAGATGATGTGGGGGACCCAGGAAAAGAGCATCAATGTCAATAGGGCAGCGTATGAGCCTAGATGAATTCTTTGGGTTCAGGACGTGACTGGGATAGTGGGCTCATTCAGGTATCTACAGCAGGATTAAAAGCAGACTTGACATAAATTGCTGAGCAAATGTTGTGAGGGTACTCCAGGTTAGGGAGGGGCCTGTTTACCCTTCCTGTGATAATCCTGCTTTTCCTCTGCTCACTTGGTGTACAGTTCACTCTGTGGGTTCCTCTGTGAATGTATGGGAACGGCGAGATCTCACCCATTCGAACAAGGGCAATTACAGATCATCTTGTCCTCATGCCTCCTCGTCTTAGACTCTTTCTACTGGGCTGCAGTATTTACACTGCTGCCAGGAGCTCTTTCATCACAGTGCTGCTTTGCCAATTTATCGTCCTGAGTCTGCAGTTCATGGTCTGTAACTTTCTTCTGGTGACTGGAATTACACAAGAAAATAGGGAACATTCATTTTTTATCTTTGTTGGAACCGACTGGGATAGCGGTGGAAAGCCTCCAGTGTAGTCCTTGGACATGCTGAGATTGAATCACAGACTGTGAAAGAGCCCCTTTCTCCCCTCCTTTCCTGGGCCCTGATTCCAGGCAGGTCCCCCTTCACTCAGACCCCCCAGTGTCGAAGGTCAGGGTTGGGGAGAGGAACAGAAGTGAGGTGGTGATGAGTGATCAAGAATTAGGATGCCCTGGAGGTCACTCACAAGTTCTCACGCAGGTTCCGCTGAGACCTCCTGCGTGCGCGAGCACCATCCTGTCTCTGGTTTCTCCCCATTTGACCGGTGCTGGCTTTGCCTAGAGGGCAGCCGTAGAGTGCTCAGGAGAAGCAGCGCGTCACGGGAATCACACGGGGTCCAGCCCTCAGGTGGGAGGGAAGACCTTGTTGGCAAAGAATGGGGGAGCAGGAGCGAGGAAAGGAGAGGAGACGATCTTGGCAAAAAGTCTTTCTTTTTCCGTAATTACAGAGAACCAGTAATTTTTTTAAATTACTGTTGTTATAATTATTATTATTGAGAAGAGGAAACCCAGGGATGGCAGAGGGGAACTTCTCTGCTTTTATCTTTCAGGTTTCACTCCTGGCACTGACTTTGATATTTGGAATTTTGAGGTTCAGGGACTTCAGAGAATTTGGCAGCACAGTGTATTGAGAGAAACGGAAATTTCAGGAGATGGATTGATCACCCTCGCGGACGTGTTTCTGGAAGTGGGTGAGCAGATTTGATTGAGAACATTTTGGGCTCTTGCACTGATGGTGGGAAAGCAAAATTCATGGCAGCACTTCTCATAATTCTCTCCCCTGAAAAGAAAGATTATGATAAAGAATAATTTGAAGTAATAAGTAACAAGATAGAATTAGAAAAATGTTGAATTTCCAGATGACCCAGTCAGAAGTGTGACTTTTTTCACATCTTTTTCTCCTGCAATGATCTGCTCCCAAGTCCTGCACTGCAATATCAGTCTAACTAACACTTCGTGAAACAAATTGTAAGTGCATATGTATACATATCAAGCTATGCTCTGAGGATAAAGCAAGTTCTAATTTGTGGAAAAAGGATTAAATATTTCTGTTTTCTGAAAAAGAAAAATGTACAGTATCTTCCTATTGCTTCAAACCCTATACTTCAATATCCAAGGATCTCCATTAGCCTCAATGTATCTTTCACAATTCATCTCTCACTGCTTTCTCATGGGGCCTTCTAGTCTAGCAAGGAAACATTTTTCTTCTCCCCTCCCTCCTGTCATTTCTTCTTCTTTTACACTGTTTTTCCATTTCTTCCCCTTCAATGCAAAGCCTCCTTTTCTTTCAAACTCATGTATTAAGTTTTATCTGGTACAAGAAACATTTCTTGATTAAATTTACTTTAGAGTGGTTTTAAGATTTTTCCAGAATAATCTCATAAACATATCTGTAGCCTAAGAATTATTTACAAGTTGACTCACGTGTGTGTAGCTTTTTGCCCTAATTACACTCTGAATTCCTGAGCAACATCCTTTACTTCCTTTGTGTTTTGTTAAGCCTCAAATAGAAACGTGAATCCATAGGAGGCACTCAAGTAATGCTTACCCAACAAATGAAAACATCCTCCTGTACTACTGTGATCCCCTAAGAGAGTGATAAGAATTGATTTTGTAAGAGAACAAATATTTAGTTTGTATGATTCTTTGTTAATGAGGTATATACAATTTATACGGCTTGAAGTTATAGTGTACTGTCTTAGTGTGGGAATATTAGGGTAAATAATTTTACTTTTACCAACATTTTTGTTCTTAACATTTAACTACTTGTCCCATTTATTTGGGGTAAGAAGGTCTTGGGTTACTATTTTGGTGGTTCTGTAGTATCACAGAGACAAATGAAATTGGACTACATATCAGCACAGGTGCATTTCAGGTTTATTCAGTGTACCATCATCTTCCAAAACTAGATCTGTGGGTGGAGGAGCAGTGGTTAATCTATGGAATGTTATTATAAGTATATAGATAAACAGATCTGGAGTGTAAACTCCTGCAGATGCCCAGGATTGGAACCGGTTTTTTGTACACAGATGTTGTTTTTTGTCGTTGAGTCTTTGGTTTGGCAAAAAATTGTTGAGTGGTCTTTTATCAATGTCACTGGGGCTCTAATAACTTTTTAAGGATGAGCTGCTTCGGTGCCGCAGATCTTATTTCCTTGTGCTTCAACTCAACAGTGAGTGTTCGATTAATGACTGTTCTGCGTAGTGAATGGAAAGTGTTTCTTTCAGAAGAACTTATTTTTCTTTCAAACCTGTAAGGATATTATGTGCCAGATGGTTAATTCCCAAGTGTGTGTACCCACACACTTCATGATTGAAAATATCCTTCAGACATTTTTCCTGTGGTGAAAGAATGGCTATAATTTTAATTTACATTTGTATGAAGTATACATTTGCTGTTTTCTACTGATACCTGAAAAAATAAATTTTTATTATAATGTATGAAATATATGCCACTTTAGTTATATATTTTTCTGGTGTTCGGGACTTAAATACTTTACAGAAATACAAGTTTTGGTCAACTTTTAATATTACATTTTAATTCTCACTCACATTTAAGTTAGAGAGTAAGGACATAGCTTTCAATGTGTGTGTGGAAGGGGCAATTGTTAGTAGTATTCAAATGAATCATTCTTGTGTCTGTGTTTCAACAAGATGTGTATTTTTAACTAAAGAAACTTCTTTACTTTGTAATGCCCAATTAATAGGCTAATAATTTATAGCCAGTTAAGAGGAAGGAAGTTCTTATATGGCAGCAGTGCTAAAATGTCCAAAGATTGGCATAGGCAGAAAATTATATTTGAATCTGCTTTGAGAAAAGACCAAAATGAAAACCATCACAGCTTAAAATATTTTCAAGTAGTTGAGTAATGACAGTTTATACATAGAGCTAAGTTTATATAATAGTGTATGTTTTAGGGATTCCAGGCTATAAAGTATGAACATAAAACCTAAGAAACCCATAAAACAAATTACCCCAACATGCAACACATTTAGATTTTTCTTAAAACAAAACAAAACAAATAAGCAGCCAGGCACGGTGGCTCACGCTTGTAATCCCAGCACTTTGGGAGGCCGAGATGGGCAGATCACGAGGTCAGGAGATTGAGACCATCCTGGCTAACATGGTGAAACCCCACCTCTACTAAAAATAGAAAAAATTAGCTGGGTGTGGTGGCCGGAGCATGCAGTCCCAGCTACTCGGGAGCCTGAGGCAGGAGAATGGTGGGAACCTGGGAGGCAGAGCTTGCAGTGAGCCGAGATTGTGCCACTGCGCTCCAGCCTGGGTGACAAAGCAAGATTCCGTCTCAAAAAAAAAAAAAAAAAAAAAAAAAAAAAACCATCAGCAATAAAGACGTTTTTGGTATTTTTTTTTTACAGTACCCTATAAATGACAATAATTTGTATACACACCAAAATTACATAGGCTATTAGCCACCTGTAGTTCATGCCTGCTGTGACCTCCATAGCTGAATAACGTACTCAAAAGTTGCAAGTCTTCAAGGTCAGAGATAGCTTATCTCTAGGTTCCAGGATGACTTCAAGTTTTACATCCAGACTCAACTCATGATAACCTGGACTGACATCACTCTTCTTTTGTAAGATGAGAATCATATGTCATCTTCTCATGTACTGGGGACTAGGTAGGCAAATACATCTAACTTCATTCAGGGCACCCCTGACCAAGCAATCTGTCTGTAGGGATGCTTGTGGGAGGGTTTCAGGTAACCAAAAAATGGGTAGGGTAAACTGAGGCAATTGCTGAGGAGGGACAAACAGATCAAATAAATCTTGAGTATTTAAGCAAGTATGGGATGTCAAGTTCCCACATCATTTTGCATATGTAGAGCGGGACTTACTGAAAATGATTTAAAATATTATAGCCAGCGTCTTACATATCAGTCAGTAAAAGATAATAAGGGAATAATTTGAGACAAAGTCTGAGTGGGAAAATAAATAAAATGTATTAAGGAAACAGAAAATAGACTAATGAAGAAATTAAGTGATTCTTCTAAGTATTTTAACATACACACATTAAGGGGTGTACTAAGATAATTAAATAAGAAAAAGTAAAATCAAATAATGTTTAGACTAAAGCATAAGAAAAACACTTAAAGCTAGAGAACTTTAAATTTGTAAAATGTCATTCAGAGCAAAATGAATTAAACTAGGTTTTTGGTATCCATTTAATGTTGGACCTTTAAAAAATGATTGGTTAATAACAGGCTGAGGAGATAAAACTGGAAGCTCTGCAGTCTTTTGACTCACCTGTATCTCTCATATCATGTAAGAATCAATTCGCGTATCTGCAAAGAGAACATATTATGATATCGATGCTTTTTTCATATTTTTACTTTGCATTTAAAACCAAAATCAGATTATGGTTATATCACATTAAAGAATCCATTTCCCACTGGAGTCAGGCTATTTCACTCTAATTTTTTCAACTACTTTATTCCTCCTGTATTACATTTTACTTTTTCTTCATCTTCTTTTTTTTTTTTTCATCTGTACATTTCTTTGCTTCATCCAATTCAATTTACTCTGGTAACGTTTGGAAAGAATATTATAACTCAATCTTCATGTAATGGTTTATAACCTCCTGATTTTGTGATCTTTTTAAAGGCTGTTATATTGACAAGTAAATTATACTTACTTTAGCCAACTGTATGTACTTATGTCACTTTAAATTTAACTTATCACTAGTTGTCAAAATCTCCCGTGTGGCCTTTTTAATGTTCCAATGTATTTGGCAGTATATTTTTTTATTGACATTTCAATTTTGTTTTTCTGTGTGCTAAAGTTACGAAAAACCAAATGACTAAAAGTTAAACCCGAGCCAACCCAGACTAAAGTTAAGTTTTAGGAGTATTTGGGAATGCATTATTTTTGTTGAATGCTTAAGCTTCTGAATCCAGTAGGACTCAGAATGTATTCAGTCGAGATCTGGATGCTGAACTCTGGTGGTAAGGCAGAAGAAAAGTGACAAGAGATCATCACCAAACAAATCCAAGATTAAGATTTCCTTACTAGCTTTATGTTTTTTTGTTTGTTTTGTTGTCAGTAAAAGAAAACCCACCTCATTTAAATATTTTGGCTTGTGAATACTTAACATTCTCCTTCAGTGCACTAATTACTATGTTGCCTAATTGTTTGTTTTGTTTCTTATTCCATGATCAATTTATCCCAGATACTATAAATTACTTTTCACAACCTTGTCTAGTGTGATTTCTGCTATCTTCTCCTACACCTAGTACCAGGCAAGGTGCCTCCTAGAGACTCAATATGTTTAATGTCCTACATTGCTATGTCTCTTACATGACTAACTCACACATGAACATTACAAAAGTAGAAACATAGATGGCAGACTACAGATTATGATCTGTGTGTTTTTCACTTAATTTCAGAAAACAAAAGCAAAGATCCTTTTGATTTGATACTTCTATTGGCTAACTATAGAGCAAGCTTCTTAGAGCATCACAGCCCAGTACAGTAGCCACTAGACAAATGTAGCTATTTAAATTTAAACTGAATGAAAATTAAATGAAATTTAAAATTCAGCTCTTCTACCATACTAGCCAAATTTCAAATGCTTTACAGCTACACGTGGCTGTTGGCTACCATATTGGACAGTGCAGATTACAGAACATTTCCATCATTTCAGAAACTTCTTTTGGGCAATGCTATCTTAGAATGTTATTTTAGAAGAATACCTCAAGTGGCTAATACAAATAATAATAATAATACAATTTTTTTTCTTTCGTGATTTCATATTGCTTTAGGAAATGTCAGCTAACCCAGATCTACATATAGGCAGTACCATCCTCAGTGCTAAGTAAATCAAAATAGCATTAAATTGACTACCACCAAAATCACAGAGTAAGATTAGAATACCAGGAGCTGTTTTTGTCAAATGACTTGGTAATGGTTCTCCTGGTTTTTTGTTCTGGCACTCTCTATCAAGCACCAATGTCTTTAGATATCAATTTGACCTATATCTGTAAGAGATTGCTGTTGGACAATGAAGAACTTCATACATATAACATGTTTTCCAGATATTCTGTTCTCAAACACACAAAAAAATCATTAGGAGTATTGGGAATAGATCTTTCATCTCCTTACCCCACGTCTCTTAACTTCTGCAGCCAAGTGTTCAAAAGGAAGTGTCCTGGTATCTGTGTCTTTGCCTGAGGAAAGATTGATTTCCCAGTTTAGATTCATATCAGAAAGTTATGCTTCCTGCCAAAAGGATATTTAAAAACTCCACCCTCCCTGCTTCACAAAGAGAGAAAACAGATCACCCAGAACCCAGACAGTAGATAACAAACAGATCACTCTAATTAGAAAAAAAGAGGCAGCATACAACAAACAGAGCCCAACTACCTCTGGGCAGTAAGAAGAGTGAGACTTTAAGAGGCCCCTCGTTCATGCCCTTAAAATAACCTTTTAATAAGTTATGCAGAAACATAAGATTAAGGGCCTCCATAGGAAAAAGTGACTTTCAATTACAAACCAGCAAAAGCCTGGAAAAGTGTGAGATATTAAAAAGAACACCCAGAAAGAACCAGAACATAACCTGTTCGTTTTGCCAGATGAGCTGAAGAGTTTTCACAAAGTCTTGGTAAGGAGGAACTGGAAGTTGGTATCAGAATCTCACTGTTTTGTTGTTTATACTTGTGTTACCATTTCTAAAATGTTCTGCAGAACTGTTAACTACTACAGGGGAAAGTTTCCGCAGTTAACAATGTTAGGAAATATTGGATTAAATAAGATTAAGTAAGTTTCAAAAATAATTATAAACTTATCAAGATTTACTATGCTAATGTGTGTGTGTTGCAATTCTCTACAAAGCTGTGGAAGGGATAAAATATTTCTTAAGCTTCTGTAATAAGTGTTTGGAAATTTGGATAAAGCCCCAAGACAGAAAAAAATTGGTGTTAAGTTGTTTCATATTATCGAGAGTAGTGACTAAACACATCGCCACACTAAACACAACTCTTAACAGGACTTAAGGGTTAACAACAAGATGATCATGATAATAATGTGACCATTTAATGAATGAAAACTTATAAAATTCTTATAACAATGCCTTTTGCATATTAAGTGCTCAAAACATAATTGCTATTATTATTTTGGAGCTGATGGGACTGTAGGAATAAAAGACACACTGAGACACTCTTGGCCAAGCAGAAGTAAGGGTGCTGCATAAACCCAAATGACATGAAGTCAAAGGTCACAGTGGGGCCTCACAGAGCCTGGAGGATTGGCTCATGCCTCAGCCAGTAATAATGGGAATGTCCCTTCCCACAGGTGAGGCCGAATGAAGGTCATGGATCCCTCAAAGGATTAAGTATGAAATGGTGATCAGTGGTAATGTAGCTGGCTGGTGAGGAAACAAGCCAGAGGCTGCATCTAGAGGTGAGCTAGAGGACTATGGAAGTGGCAAATCTTGAAATCAAAATCAAACTCAGCTCTTGGCAGTAGTGAACAAGTTCTCACATTGTGATTTCAATATTGGAGCAAAATAAGCACTTCAGTATTTTCGTATTTATTTATCCAATACTAAAATAGCAAAAGAAAAAAAAAATCAAATAGAATCTCCATCATTTTCAACTGTGATTTCTCAGTTACTATTGCACTTGATAAGGGGTCTGTCCAGGGCACAGTCTTTGAGGCCTGAGTCGCCTGACTGACCACAGCTTAGTCAGAGAGGATGACCAAGGAAGTGTGTTTTGGTCAAGATAAATATTATTAATAGAGGAATGAGTGAGGCCCTAAAAACCAGAACCAGGCTCTAACAGGAAAAAGCAAGTGAAAGGACATGATTTTGTTCTTTTTAATGGCTGCATAGTATTCCATGGTGTATATGCACCACACTTTTTTTTTTTTTTTTTGAGACGGAGTCTCGCTTTGTTGCCCAGGCTGGAGTGCAGTGCACTATCTCTGCTCACTGCAATCTCCACCTCCCGGGTTCACGCCATTCTCCTGCCTCAGCCTCCTGAGTGGCTGGGACTACAGGTGCCCACCACCACGCCCAGCTAATTTTTACCACACTTTCTTTAACCCATTCACTGTTGATGGGCACGTAGTTTGATTCCATTTTTGGTTTGTGAATAGTGCTGTGATGAACACAGAACTACGTGTGTCTTTTTGGTAGAACAAGTAGCTTTCCTTTGGGTAATCCTAAGCAAATTAATAGAGGAACAGAAAATCAAATACTGCATGTTCTCACTTATATGTGGGAGCTAGTCATCGGGTACATGTGGACATAAAGATGGGAACAATAGACATGGGGACTACTAGAGAAGGAAGGGAAAGAGGAGGGTGTGAGTTGAAAAACTACCTATTGGGTACTATGCTCATCACCTGGGTAACAGGATTGGTATTCCAAACAACATACCCATGTAACAAACCTATACACATAACTTCTGAATCTAAAAGAGAAGTTGAAGTTATACAAATCCAAAAAAAAGTAAGTGAAGTGGAAGGGCCCTGAGGGAATTCAGCTCTGGAGTAAAGGAAGATTTTGGACCTCATGAGAAGGTTGAGAATTGGGCCCAGGAGACTTCATCTCCATGTTCCTCCTCTCCTAACTCCCCAAACATATTTTCCCTCCTGCTTTAAGTATTCTCTCCCACCTCCATGCTAAAACCTCTCCATCAGAGACCTTGGAATTGATGATGGCCCAAATTAACTCTGGGGAAATAAAAATGAACTATAAACATGAAAGATTCCCAATTAACCTAAGAAATTGAAATTAAAATAATAAGATAACCTGAAAAGATTTTCAACACATGAGGAATCCATGGATCCATTTATTTGATATGTTCAGGATATTTTCAAAATGAGGACAAATTTCTTGGAATGAAAACATTACTGTAGCATTGATTCTGTGGGTAAGGCTCAACACATACATAATTTGGGTTTTAGATTTTTCAATATACAGAAAATATAACATGGCACTAACAAGAATAATGGTATTTTGGGACTTAAAAGTAATATGAATATAGGGCAGTAAAAATGAGTGTTGCAGTTGCTTCCACCACTATCGCTGGGTAATCATTGAGTAAATAGTAAAATCCTTCTCTGTATTTTCTGTAATATGCTTGACCTTTGTAACAGTTATCTCTTGCTGCATAACAAACCAACCCAAGTCATGGTGTCTTAAAATGTTAACAAATTATTGCTCGTATTGATTGGGTAGTTCTTTTGCTGTAATTGCCTAGTTCATACATGGACTACAGTTGAGACAGACAAGCTGGCTGGTTTTCTGTTTTTATATTGTCTAGAGAAAAAGAACAAACGCCCCTTAACTCAAGCTGTATCTTACTTCCTCTACAGCCAATCAGCATCAAAGGCCCAAGAGACTATTAACCACAAGTTCCTGGTTTTGGGGCTAGGGACTTCACTGAGGCCCTGAATGCACAGCTAGGCTTAAGTTTCAACTCATAGTGATCTTTTTTTCTCATTTTGATGCTAAAAATCATGCTCAGAGCTGGAAGTTTAAAACGTTAACGTTATATGAATTGTATGAAGAAGCATGTAAAGCCACTGTGCAAGTGCTAGAGAAATCTCTCCTATTCATGCCCCAATGAAATCGTTTTCTGTAGAATATGTCCTATAAAATTAACATACATTCTACCTTCAGGACACAACCCTCCCTTTACCTTTCATGGTGCTGCTTTTCCCTGCACACCAGCTAAATGAAGCTTTCTCTTTTTCTTTGCTGCTATGGCTGGTGATCTCTCTTGATTTCTATCCTGGGAGATTACAAGAACACCAGTAACAGAGTCAGTGGGGGCAATCTGGCTAAATGGCTGGGATGGTTGTAATGGTTGGGACTCTCTCCACATGACCTCACATCCCTGGAGTCTTCACAGCATAGTGGTCCCAGGTTCCAAGGCAGAAAGGGTAGAAGGTACAAGATCTTTTCAGGCGGAGGTTTGGAAGTCACTTCTACCACATTCCATTAATCAAAGAAGTCACAAACCCAGCCCAGATTCAAGAGGAGGGGAAATAGACTCTACTCAATGATGAGAGAGGTGGCAAAGCTAGAGTCACATGTTTAAGAAGAAAGGGACTTTGCAAATAATCTACCACAATCCCTAAGTCATTACTAAGGAGTCAGAAAGGGACTCAGTGTAGTCATAAGGCTTTTTTTCTGAAGAATAATTTTGCCTCTGTTTATCCTCAAAACTTGGAGCTTTAAACATTTGGACCTCCATGGATCCATATACTTGATAATGTTGACTAGAATCTTTGTAATCTTTATCTTGATATATAAGTGGTAGAACAGTATTATACATCTGTATCCGGGAGATAGATGAATTTCTGCAGAGACTGAGTTGGGTTTTTATTAATAAATTGACTATCAATTTTGTGATTTATGAACTTAAAAGGAATAGTTTCCATCTATCTTGTTTATGCAAAATATAATCTTTGCAATCAACAAAGAAGCCAGCATATTTTAATTCTAAAATTGTTCTAATTATTATCTAATTATGTCAACATTATTGGCATTGTGAGCTTGGAGACTGTAGTTCCACAGAGGAAAATACAGTTGATGTTTATATTTTAATTCCATTTATTGTTCGTGTTCCAAATGGACAAACAGGCAGTAAAATACTGACAAGTTCCTGTGCCTGTGTCTGCATTTCTTCAGAAGTCAGGACACTAAATAGAAAAATGTGTTGATAAATAGAAGACTTTATTAGTTTACATGACACTTCTGGATTTCTGTAGGAAAAAAACAAACAAACCCATAAATCTGATCATGAAATCTACTGCAGTAGTCTATCATTTAGAAGGTGTTCTGTTAATGTCTTAAAATTCTCCCTCTCCTCTTTTATTCTCTTGAGGATAAACAGGTAGAAATCAAGTTGTAGTGTGTATAATTAATTCCTGACTGAAAAAAAGATGGGGGGGGATGAGAAAGAATGAAAATGCCCTATTCATTCTGCATGTACTGACCCCATCTCTTATGCTGTTTACATTCTTCTTGCTTTCTGGAGACCATCAGGCCTGACTCCGTTACTTAATACTGAGTCTTCAAAGTTTCCAACAAAACGAATTCAGTGAGGTAGACTTCCCTTCCTGGAAACATCTTTGATTATCTTAAAACTTTTTTTTAATTTACAGCAGTATATAACTGAATGTACAATGTGATGAGAAGGATAATGATAGTAGT